CTCTGGCTTCGTGTGGCCTTAGACCAGCCGTTAACGATCTGTCAGTCACGGACTGCGTGACTTCGCCTGTGGATTTTTTTTTTCTGCGACTAAGCGACTAATACAATTTTGGTCAACCTACTGCCTCGCTTCTGGTCGACTAACGATTAGTCGACTATTGGGGGGCAGCCCTAGTGTTCACAATGTGTTACTTCATTCCCTCTTTTTAGTTAAGTTCCCACAATTTAACTAAATTAAACTAAAGCATGGTCACAATTTACCTAAGATGAGGGAATGAATTATTAAAACGTGGCCATGATTTAATTAAACAAGGGAATGAATTAATGAAACGGGGCGACAATTTAACTAAAATTAAGAAATGTAGTAATCAAACGCGTCCACAGTTTAAATAAATTAATAGATCTGAAAAAAAAAAAGTCACATAATATCCTAAAATATGAAGAGAAACTGCAACCTTAAAAACAGAAACACTGATATGGAGAAAAGTGTGCACAGGAAATGATCCATGTTTAATCATAATAGCTGAAGGTGATATTTTGCTGGAAAGAGCTTGTGTTTCCAGATGAGATGTTCTGCCCGGTCCAATGTCATACAGTCTGAAAATGTCTCTTTATCACAGGCTGCACTTCCAACAGAGTTTGAGACCACTTCTTCTCCAGATGACTATGACGAGATGCATATTAACAACAACTGGATGCTCTTTGTTGATGAGTCTTTTAATGAGCTTCCAAAGGTGACAGATGCCCCAGTTGGAGATAGGACGAGACAATACTCCATCTCAGTAGTGGGACCCCAGACGCCCATAAACTGGCGGCCTGTTCCAGAAATTAGCCCACCTCCATAAACTCTACCTCCACCAGCCCCTCAACCTAACACCTTCATGAAAGGTACAACTCGAAAACACACTCACTTACTGCAAAATTATAGGCCGACTGATGTTTACTCCTGGTATTAACATGCATTATAAATGCATCTTGAGTGTTCACATTTAAATTTAGGCTGAAACCTGATTTTGTATGTTGTTGTTGTTTTTCAGTGGTAGGCTGTAGGCAGGGATTGGATCCTGGACCATGTAGGGAGTACAGGGTGATGTGGTACTACGACCCGGAGGCCAACGCATGCTCACAGTTCTGGTATGGTGGTTGCCAAGGCAACAGCAATCGCTTCGAGACGGAAGACCTTTGTCAAAACACTTGTGTGCAGACATAACACACCCTCACAATGAAGCATATGCCTTCATTCAGCAGATTCCTATCAAGCTGTGTCGACTTTGCAATCATGCACTATGCAGATACATTTTCATTGTGTACATGTGTTTTATGAGAGCAGTAAGTAATTCTGCTACACTGACTGTGGATCAGATTTGTCCTTTGGGCCAACACTATTTTAAATAATGTTTACAAGACTAGTGCTTCTCCATTTTCTAGAGAATAACATGTATATTCTAAGTACCATATTTTTTCCTAGTCGCACTGAATGTTTAACAAATTTATTTATTTTTAATATTCCTTCCATAGAAATAGTAAATATTTCTTATATTGTGATTTCTGTTAAAGGGGTCATATGATACTATTAAAATTTTTCCTTTCTCTTTGGAGTGTTACAAGCTCTTGGTGCATAAAGAAGATCTGTAAAGTTGCAAAGACTAAAGTCTCAAATCCAAAGAGATATTCTTTATAAAAGCATAAACACATTGCATTACACCAAATACATAAAATAATGTTATTTTTAGCAACATCATATGACCCCTTTAAAGGAAAAAACGAAAATTTGCTGAAAATGTACTTATCCTCACGCCATCCAACATGTAGATGAGTTTGTTTCTTCATGTGAACAGATTTGGAGAAATGTAGCATTACATCACTTGCTCACCAGTGGATCCTCTGCAGTGAATGGGTGCCGTCAGAATGAGAGTCCAAACAGCTGATAAAAACACAATAATCCACAAGTAATCCACACCACTCCAGTCCATCAATTAACTAACTACATTTCCCCAGATCTGTTCACATGAAGAAGCTAATTCATCTAGATCTTGGATGGTCTGAAGGTGATCAAATTTTCAGTAAATTTTAATTTAGCTAGTACATCCCTTGTTTTCATAAAATAAATGAGTAAATAGTAAATACATATGCCTATTTTTATTTCATTTTAAATTTATATACATTTATTTTCATTTCAACCAAACCTAATGTCTAGAAGCTAAAGTTCTGCTAAATTGTGCCTCCCCCATTAAACTGTATAAAGTAAAATTAAAATGTAATCTACAAGTGTCTGCCTCTGTAAATCCATGATTACCTTAATGACTTGCAATGTAAGTATCATAAAGTATGTAAATAATACATTAATATGATATAAACCAGACTTAAATGTAACAATACAATATGCAACAGGAGGTCCCTGCTTTATACTGTGAAAAGCACTGCACAAAAGTACTAATACGGTGTACAAGACAGCATCAGTCCACTTCTAGCACTGATCATGACAAAATCATTTATGTGTGCCAGTCACACATAGAGTCACTGCTCTTTCTAAGTGCATGTATATTTAAAACGCAAAAAGCCCAACATTAAAAATCTGTTAAAATATTATGCACAGTACTGTATGTTAAATTTGTATTATATTGTATGATCAACATAATTTCCAATTATTTCAACAGTGTTTATCCATGTTTCATTATTCATTTTTCCTTAGTAGTAATCATGACTCATGAGTTTGGGAATGAACTTTTCCCATCAAGTCTTACACACATGACAGTCAAACATCCAGAAGTCCTTTCTTCTATAAATGAATGACACCTAAGGTCTGGATTAACCAACGATTTTCTTGTCTTTACTAATATTTTTATGTTTGGACTATGATGAAGCAAACCACTGTGTTTCCAAAGCTGTTATTAATGTTTTGGACAATAAAGTAGTTAGTCTGTAACTTTGTAAAACCTGTTTTAATATGTATAGAACAATAATTATAACATGAGTTACATTTAATGGTACACTGAAGTAATGTATACATGTATTAATAGATTTCACTTATAAATATTACATTTTGAATGTTGTCTTATTTTTTACATTAGTTGTTATTTCTATTTTCTGAGCGTTCACCTGGGTTAAATCTGTATTTATATCCGAATGGCCGTAAGCGATAGGTGTAGTACTCTAAAGTATGCATTTGCACTGCATCTATGTAGTGGAAAGAGATGGCTAAATCTGAACAGCATCCAGGGCCCTGAAAACACAAGAAAGAACAATGTATTTAAGATAAGGATCAATCAATCGATTTCCAGCTGAGAAGAAGCATTCAAAGGGTTAAGAATCTGTATTCATTTATTTATTGCTTCTCTCTTTTAGAGTCTATCTAGACCTAAATCATTACTGAAACTGGATATAAATTGGATTTATTTTTACTATATTTTCATCTGACTGTTTGATCATAACCCAGGTTATGTAAAAAGGCTGATTTTCATTCCTAGGGGGTTTAAAGGTGACCTCATTATTTTTCTGTGACTAATAGTCTTGTGCTTTATACTGACATATAATTCGGTTTGGATGCAGCATCATGCAAAAGCAAACATTTTTGGAAGAGATGATTACAGAATTACAAAACGTCACTCATGTCATATTCCTGGATCAACATCCTTGTTAAACAACACTGCAACTAACAAAACAAATTTTATTGAGAAGTTTCCAGTTGAACAGTATGGCAGATGAAGTGGATAAGTTGTTATTTGTCATTTGTCAGATACACAGACGTTTCAGATGTTTACATGTAGCAGCGGAAACAATTTTCATTCAGTGCTTTATGTTCTGCTTCATACAGTACCTGCTTGAAGTCAGACACCGATCATCTGTGTAGCCCTGCACACAAGTCGAACACACCTCATTTATGATCACACATTTATTAGTTTGATTTGAGACAGAACCAGTGCCACTTCACTGTAAACGTATACAAAAATAGAACCTATTTTACTGGTATTTAAATAGTCTGGGTTTATGTTAAACTTTATTCTTGTACATCAGTACAGAAAGTATTGAACGAAAAGTGTTTCTGTTTCTACATGTAAACATCTATATATTTGACAGTTTTTTTCATCTAATCCACTTCACATGTGCAAAGTATGCAAAACACCATGTTTAAGTTACTACAGGAAGTAGAAAGTGTCTGAGTTCATGTCTCTGTTTTCAACTCATTCCCCAATTTGAAGAGGCAAATGTCTTTGATCTGCAGCCACAGCCTAAGTCAGCACACATAAAGTTTAGATTAGGGGCGTCATTCTTATTCCCCTATCATTTAACGTATAATTTATGGTTAGGGTTAGGTATAGGAGTAGAAGTTAGCACAATACTGTTGGACAGTGTTGTTGTCCCAGGATTGACAAAGTATGTTGATCCAGGAACATGTCTTACTTGGAAAAGTCATATCTACTCATATCCGCTTGTTAATTCTGATGTTACTCGTCACCATTTCCAAACGTTCTAGCAGATGCCAAAAGCAAAACACAAATGGTGCTAATATGCACTCACAGTGTGCTATAGGGACTTGGTTTTAGTGATCTCTAGTGATGAACGAATCGTTCTTTTGAAACGGTTCTTTTAGTGAACTGGACTGTCTGCAATTCGAGTCAACACTGATTCACCAGTTACTCAATTAAAACTTTAGGGTTTAATAAAGGGGGGTGAAATATTCACATAGCAGTGATCCAGAGGCAGTAGTTCTTGAGTCAACAGTACAGTGATACCGTGACAGCAGTTCTCGGGTCAAGAGTTGGTTACAATAGCTCTCAAGTCACCAATACACTGAACTGAGAACAGTTTCAGACTTGGACATGTCTGTGTTGATGAGAGCCAATGAGCTGTTAATTATATGCGCATGTGTGACCCGACGACTTGGGGGTGAAATGTAAGTTTCTTTAATAACAATTCATTGAATAAAATAACAGGAGTTTAGAATAAAATAAATCCGCTACATACTTTTAAACATGGCATTATTTAAATCTATGTGTGCATGTATGTTCACCTGCAGGGATGATATTATGCATTAATGACATCATTATGTGATGATGTAAAAGAACTGCTGAATCGTTTTTCGAACAAGTTAATTGAAATGAAGTGTCTGAAAGAATTGTTTTGCAGAAAGGTAATGCACTTCCCATAACTATTCGGTTCTAGTCATTGTTTGTTGATTGGATGGAGGCAGATATGAATGAGAGCTTGCGGTCGAAAGAGGCAAGTGGATGAAGTGCTATGTTGAACGCAGTGCCGATCCTCCCTATACGAAAAATACGCAAGCTGTGTAGGGCCCCTGAAACACCAGGGGGCCCCCTTGCTCTCAAAGATGATTTCATTTTAGTTTCGTTTTTGAATTTGGCCAGCAGTTATGAAAACATGAATGATCATTTATTTTAATGCGGTGCGCTGTCGCCCTTTCTACGTAAAAATCAGTCAAATCATGTAATGTGAATGTCGTACAGTCTTGCTCGAGACTAAAAAACGAGTTGAAAGCGTACCAAACCGCGGAAGAGATACTGGGTGTCTCAATCAGCTCCCTTGTTCAGTAGTCAGGGCACTGATCAGGGAGTCGGCCATTTTAAGGTGCTGTCTCAATCATGAAATCCTTTCAGTGCACTGGAATGTTCGCTCCCTGAAAAATCCCACAATGCACCGCAAAAACTAGGGAGCATCGACGCTCACTATGCTCCCTTACCGGAAATAACGTTACATTTCTGAAGCGTGAAACATAAACCACACGAGCCAACTCGATAAATATAATAACGCGCGATAGGAGATTTGAAAAGACAAACCGTTTTTTGTATATTTCAACATAAACACACATCGCTAGACAGGAATTGAACACATATAATTAACATTTATAATTAATATTCGGCTGAAATGTTTTAAGAACATGTAACAGAACGATGTGTTTAAAGAGAATAAAAAATCATATAAAAATTTGATTGGTCCTGTCTGTTGTTTATTAATTCCAGTGATGACATTCTACTATGTTGTTCGTTGACGTTGTACGTAATCCCCACGTGTCCCAACGTGCAGTGAGTCAGGGAACTTACCAGTGCCCAAATTCGTGTACACGATCTACTGATTCACGAGCTCGGGAGCTAGGGAGCTGATTGAGACGCACCCACTGTTTCTCAAGTGCTTTCCACGGGCGCGATTCGAGACAGTTTTGCGTAGGGCCGTAGGGCCGTAGGGCCTCCAGAAGTCTAGGATCGACACTGGTTGAACATATATTTACTAGCAGAAGAACTGGATTTCCTTTATGTTGTAAAAATATGGTACAGTAACTTGTAAGTATGAGTGTGTGGTTGTAATCATTAAAAGGTAGTTGATGACTCACATTACAAGACTTTAAACAGATTTTTAAAATTAGTCATTCACATGCCGACTTTGTAAATGGTTACAGAGAAAAACTAGGCATCATTCACTAAGCGAGTGAGGATCAGACACTACCAGACTTTCAAGTCGTTTCACTCATACAAAAACATGCACCTTGTTGCTAGGAGATGCATAACAAATGAAAACATCATGTGTTCTAAAAACAGCTTAAAATATCAAACATGTAGGATCTCCTCTGACTGGATGGAATCATAGTCTGAAACTAAAGGAATAATTCACCCAGAAAAGAAAATTAGCTTAAAATGCTCACCCTCAGTCTATCCAAGTAGATGTAGATGAGTTTGTTTCTTCATGGGAACAGATTTGGAGAAATTTAACATTACTTCACTTGCTCATGAATGAAGAAACAAACTCATCAACATCTTGGATGGTCTGATGGTGAGTACATTTTCAGCTAATTTTTGGGTGAAGTATGTGGCCTTACACGATTTTCTGTGAAATATGTCAACTCTGACTGCATAAAATCTGTCTGGGTTAAAGTCATTGAGTGTATTCTAGCCTTAATTCACCCTCAAATGTCTCATTCTTACCTCAACGGGGTGGTAATGCTCATAGAGGAGGTACCAGGGTCGTGGTCTGGGTAGCTGTCGGGGCAGGTAATTGTTTGGAGGGTAAGGATGAAATGTTTGTCTCCCCAACACGTCCCTGGAATCACCCAGCTGGACTTTCATTGTCTCCATGCATTTTCCCAATCCAATGTCCTCAATTTCTGTGTTGTGTGTGCAAAGCCCATCAGCAAAACCCTTCACAAATCTCCTCAAAGCTTCCTTACTGAGGACGTAACCAGCTCCTCCGCTCATGTAGCCCTGTGCGACGAATGGCGTGAACCTACGTCCAAAATACAGAGGCTCCTCTGTGTTGTGCTTGGACAGACCATAGCGCAAATTCTCAAGGACAACAAACGTGTCGTCGTCAGCTTTGAGGAACCAATCAGCATCATCCAGATGGTGCATGTGAATGTGCTGGAAGGCCCGTATGGTCTTCCAGTAGAGTTGACTGCGTCCTTCTAACACGTTGAGCCCTACCGTGGGGAAATCTGATGCCTCCGAGCTCATGTACAGGACAATGTTGCAGCGTTTGCCCCATGTGGCACGAATATGTTGGGTTCTGGACTTCAGGTGTTGGGGCTGCGTCATTACCCAACATAACACTCTGACCTTCTGGCTAAGATCCAGCGCAGCTCTTCTGTTTTTGACTATAAGAATATTAGAGTTTAGCTTAGAAACAGAAAGAGACCGTCAATCAAATGTCATGTAGAGAATGATCTAACGTATCATGCTAGTCTCACTATTTCTGCAGTATGTATACTGTGTAGTGTGCACATTTTCAGCATGCAAGGAGTACTTATTTGGGTGACCTACTACATTTATCGAAGTGTGCAGTAGGTATACAACAGAGCACACTGTACTAGGCACTCTATCCCACAATGCAAAACAAAACACCAGTCATGAATTAGAAGTAAAATAAGGATTTGTAAAGAAAAATGTTAGAGGATTTCTGACAATTAGCGGAAGCTATAGATTACGGTTTATACGGTTTATAAATATGGATATTTTTCTTACACAAATGCTTCAGTTTTCTTCAGAAGGCCTTTATTAGCCATGTGGAGCACTTTTTTATGATGAATGGATGCACTTTATTTTGCTTCAAAATCTCAACACCCATTCACCGCCATTATAAAGCTTGGAAGAGCCAGGACATTTTTTAATATAACTCTTCATTGTATTCATCTGAAAGAAGAAAGTCATATACAGGTACATCTCAAAAAATTAGAATATCATGAAAAAGGTCAATATTTTTTGTCACTCATTTCAGAAAGTGAAACCCATATATTATATAGATTCATTAGACATAGAGTGAAATATTTCAAGCCTTTATTTCTTGAAATTTTGATGATTATGGCTTACAGATAATGAAAACCCAAAATTCAGGGTCTCAGAAAATTAGAATATTACATAAGATAAATAAAAAAAGGATATTTTAAACAGAAATGTCAGGCTTCTGAAAAGTATGTTCATTTCTATGCACTCAATACTTGGTTGGGCCTCCTTTTGCATTAATTACTGCATCAATGCGGCGTGGCATGGCACTGCTCAGCCTGTGGCACTGCTCAGGTGTAATGGAAGGTACATCTAGGATGGCTTGAGGGTGAGTAAATCATGGGGTAATTTTCAGTTTTGGGTGAACTTGTCAATGTCTGGTTGGTGTGCCCATGTAAGGCCACCAGAGGGCACGCTTCTTAATTGTTGTTTGTTTCTCTGGACTTCAGTTCCCATCACCCTTTGCTTTGACAGTCAAGTCTCATTTCATTCACCTGTGTCACATTTACCTTGTTAACTTATCCTCATATAAGCCCGGTTTTCTGTGTGTTTGGTTGCTGGTTTATTATTTTCTGTTATGTGTTTTCTGATGCTCTGTTTTGCCCTGATTTGGATTATTCTTTGTTATTGGATTTTTTACAATAAATGCTGCATTTGGATCTGCTTGTTTTGGAGCATTCTGTGACAGAATAAACCAGCCATTTACAGATCCAGCAGCTAGACTGAGCTATCGACTTGTGGACCATGGGCATTCGAATACTTCCTCCTGTTTCGAAGAAGGAGCGGAAAGCTCAACTTAAGATGTTGGAGGATCTTCGGCAACAGGGGATGCAAGTGGGTGGACTGGCACAGACTTTTTGGACATTGGCGGTAGGATTGGAACTTTGTAATTCTAAGCTCAGCAAGATTTTTAATGATTGCCTAGACCAGTGGTTCCCAAACCTGTCCTGGAGGACCCCCTGCCCTGCACATTTTGTATGTCTCCCTAATCAGACACACCCAACTTAGTTCTTGCAGTCTCTACTAACAAGCTGATGAGTGGAATCAGGTGTGTTAGATGACTGAGACATACAAAAGGTGCAGGGCAGGGGGGCCTCCAGGACCGGTTTGGGAACCACTGGCCTAGACAATCCCTTGCCTCCTTGGGAGATGGAGGGGCTTAAAACTCTCGACTTTGAGTTTCATTGATTATCTCTGTTACCGCAATTTAGTAGCATCATGTCGATCTGAGCCAATTGCAGTGCCCCCGGAGATACCAGAGTCTGCTCCAGCTGATAGTGAATCTTCACAGTCTCCGTCTCGCAAATGAAGGTCAAGTAGGAAGAGGGCAGCAAAGACTACCCCGGTGGTTCTGAGTCTGGTGGTCCTGGAGGACCCGACTCCGGTGGTATCGAGTCTGGTGGTCCTGGAGGACCCGACTCCGGTGGTCCCGAGTCTGGTGGTCCTGGAGGACCCGACTTCGGTGATTTCAAGTCCGGTGGTCCTGGAGGACCTGACTCTGGTGGTCTCAAAGCTAACCACAGAACTGCCCAATTTCACTGCTGCTGCCATTATCAAGAAGGCCGTCTTTGCCTCTGGACTGTCCTGCGTGCTTGGAAGCATTCAGAGTCCACTCCAGAGCCCGCTCCAGTCCGGGAGCCCTCAGGGTCCATTCCAGAGCCTGCTCCAGTCCAGGAGTCCTCAGAGTCCACTCCAAAGTTCACTCCGGAACCCACTCAAGTCTATAAGTTCATTCCAGAGTTTGTGTCAGTCGATGAATCCACTCCAGAGCTTACTGAAGTTTATGAGCTCACTCCTGAGCTCATTTCAGTCCAGGAGTCCACTACGGAGTCCTAGCTCCTAGTTCCTCCCGTGGTGGAGGTTTCTGTTGTGGAGCCTCTCAATGCGGCGGTGTCCGCTTCAGCTGCCCTCTGGGCGGTGGTAGTCACTCCTGAGCTCTGTCTGCCTTGTCAGGGCCAAGGATTGCCCCGTCTCGGTCATGGAGACCGTTGCTGAACTGCCTGCCTGTTCCGTGACAGTCATCAAGGCAGTCACTAACCTGTCTATGCTCTTCTTTGCAGTCCTACCTGAGCTGCTAGGGGGTCCATCGGCCTTGTCAGCTCCGATGAGGTGGTCGTCAGCTCCACCTTTATGATCTGCCATGCTCCTGGCTCTGCCCTGCTCGCCCACCGGGGTGGTTGTTGTTGTTGTTGTTGTTGTTGTTGTTGTTCGGCCGGAGCCTCGCTGGTCTGTCCCTCCAGCCCCGCCCTGCCCTGCCCTGGCACCGTTGTCTGCCTCCTGAACTTTTGTGTTTTCTGGTGGAGCGTCTGGTATCCACTCCTTAGAGGGGAGGTAATGTCAATGTCTAGTTGGTGTGCCCATGTAAGGCTACCAGAGGGCACGCTTCTTAATTGTTGTTTCTCTGGACTTCAGTTCCCATCACCCTTTGCTTTGACAATCAAGTCTCATTTCATTCATCTGTGTCTCATTTGCCTTGTTAACTTATCCTCATATAAGCCCGGTTTTCTGTGTCTCTGGTTGCTGGTTTATTATTTTCTGTTATGCGTTTTCTGATGCTCCGTTTTCCCCTGATTTGGATTATAATTTGTTTTTGGATTTTTTACAATAAATTCTGCATTTGGATCTGCTTGTTTTGGAGCATTCCATGACAGAACTATCCCTTTAACAAGTTTAATCATTCTTCTGATAAAGTGTGCATAATTGTATTGAATTTGCACTTGTGTGCTTCAGATATTCACAAAACTGTACTTGCAGATAATATACATTAATTAAATAAAATTCACTTTCATGACTGTTTCGTAACACTAAGTACACTTTTAAAATGTATAGTAATGTAAAAGTTTTACTTGAGTACATTTTAAATCTATGTTTTAATAATCGTTTGTTGTGCTTTTAAAGGAGTACACTTATTTTGATGTTGAGTAACATACTAATTTTTGTAGCTTTTTTTTTGTAGCTACTGTGTAATTCAATAATTAATATTAATGTCTTAAATTGCAACTTCATTATTACAAATGTTTAATTAATATATTTAAATGCATCACATGCAAGTATTACAAATAATACTACAGTATATTTTAGTTTTATCGTAAATGCTTGTCAGTACATACAACAGTACACTTTAACCATATTTCAAAGACAATAGAATTATGAAATTACATTATTAGAGATGTGCCAAAGTCTTAAATTGTTCAAAAAAAGCACTCTAATGTAATTCCTTTTATGTAGATTATTTCCATAAGTCTTTGTAAAAGTATGCTGAAGTGTCATTTGCTAATATGATGAGGTCATGTGACAACAATTGTGCACATGTCCAGAATTACAATGCACATGTAATTATTTTATTGTTTACCACTGTAAAGCTGCCTTGAAGCAATCTTTATTGTATAAAGCGCTATAGAAATAAAGATGATTTGACTTGACTTAAATGTGGTAGGTCATCTCTAGGTTATTCTATCCTATACAGAAATTTGCATACACCGCACAGTACATGCTGCAGCAATATTAGTATGCTATTTCCATCTTCTGTCCCCTTTGCCTGATTTGGCCCCCTGTGGCTGATTACACATGTAAGAGTAGAGAAAAAGCCTTTGTCTTACCCGCATGTTGTACAGTAGATGTGTAACTGTCATTTATAGTAACTGAAGGCGTCAGAGTCCTCAGAATAAGCAAACAAGTTTTTGAGAGAAGGACACTCACTGCTATGCCACTTAAAAATAGAATGTGCTGCTTAAATGATCTCATGTCTTATAGAGGTGTGATAAGAGAGGTTCTTCAACTCATTTAAGTATATCTCCAATAATGCTCTGAACATCCTTCCCTTAAACACATAGATGACTTTACAGATTGTGCAATAAAGTTTTGCAATCCAAGATGCATCATTACATCAGTGCATGCAAAGCCTGTAGGTTATTTTCCGTCATGTATATTATATTACACTGAATGCATTTTTTAATAATTATGGGAATATTTGAATAGTTTTAAATGGAAAAATATGTTTGTATCCTTTTCTGTTTATTATTTCTGATAATTTTACATGCATAATTCATTACGGCAAAAATAATATATATTATAATAATATAAATTTAATTAAATTTAGCAAAAAAAAAAAAAAAAACCGAATACAACTTTGAATAAGATTGAATACATTTTTAACAGGTTTGGAGGCATATTTGAATCGTAAAGTGATTGGCGCCCGTTTTCTCGGCTGCACTGCATGTCAATCGCCACCACAGTGAAGCAGCAGCGCTAATAACTCTCACAGCGCCGCGGTGAAGAAGTCTATTCTTACCCAAGGACACCACGGTTGGGTAATAAACGTTATGCACAAACCTTTTATGACATGCAATATCGGCTCGTCTCTCTCATGAGCTATGCTTTCAGTCGTTTAGCACTCGTTGCGGTGTTCAAACAGGATCATATCTAGTGTTTACTTTCAGACAAAGACTGAAGTCATGGCTCATGCAGCACATGTATCAGCTGTTCAGGCTCTATATAAGAGAATCCTGCTGCTGCACCGCTTCATGCCCATAGACCTGCGGGCTCTGGGTGATCAGTATGTGAAAGATGAGTTCAGGAGACACAAGAGCGCATGGGCTGAAGAGGTCACGCGCTTCATGGCGGAATGGCAGGTAAGACAGAAAGTCACTTGACTGCAGAGAAAACAAAGTGCATGTAAACCACGTAGGTTACAGCAAGGCCGTAGGTCTTCCACTGAATAAATGTTTGATTTCAGAGGCACATTTATTGGTGTTGTGGCCCTAAAACACTTAAGACATAAATCTATAAACGTCTTTAATTATATTTAGTCAGTGACATGAACACAAGAAGGTGTGCCCTTGTGAAAAAGTACACTTCAGCATACCTTAAAAAAAAAGAGTAATTATTACGGCGAGATATAATTTAAAAGAAGAATATACTTAAGTGCAAACTGAATGTAATGTTTTTGGTTTTTTTTGGACAATTTATATAAAATTTATATAAAATGCGTTAGCGTTAGTTCTGGCAGGTCACGTGAGTCAAGCTTGCATCAGCTGATTCTCAGCTGATCACATCTACCTATAGGAATATGACACCTATCGCGTCATTCCTATATAAGCTATATTCAGTATTATTCAGCAGCTTTTCAGCTTGCTCCTGAGCAAATTACCCTCCTCCATCCCCAGCTCCTCCTTTCGCCACAGTCAGGACTTGGCTTTCTGATATTCCTTGCTAATCAGACTCCTTTATCTTGAATAAAGTGTTACACTTAAATATCATTAAGTACATTAATGATATCTGCCTTGTTCTGTTCTGTTAACCCAAGGGGGGTTATTATTGCTGCTCTCCCTGCTCATTCATGAC